CTCCTGCAGCTCTATGGAGGTAGATCCTCCTCCTGCAGCTCTATGGAGGTAGATCCTCCTGCAGCTCTATGAAGGTAGATCCCCCTGCAGCGCTAACCTGCTTCATCCACTTTGAAAGCTTAAATAAGCTGATCCAGTTTTATGCGGATCTCACGGCTGGATCTGAGGGATCTGGTTCTGGTTTCTAGTCCTGGTTCTGGTTTCTAGTCCTGGTTCTGGTTTCTAGTCCTGGTTCTGGTTTCTAGTCCTGGTTCTGGTTTCTAGTCCTGGTTCTGGCAGCCCATCATGTGAACACGTGAAGCCGACCACTTCCTGCGCCTCACCTCTCCTGGTTTCTGTTGCAGGGTTCAGGCGAAGGTTCCCGGACTGAAGCGTAAGGCGGAGTGAAGGATCAGCAGGTCGGAGTTTGGATCGGAACGTTTGGACGCGTGGGGGAGGGGGGGTTGATGGAAATGAAGGAAGGCTGGAGGAGGAGGAGGGGGGTCAGCTGGGGGCGCAGCCCTTCTTAATGTATTTCAGATTAATAGTTTTTTTTTTTTTCCAGTTCAGAATTCCTTAATTGTGTTTTTGAGGAAACTTGAGTCGGTTTGTTGACGATGATCTGTTTTATTTTGGAAACTGTCTGAGAGCCAATCACACTCTGAGAAACATGTTTTAAACTGGATTTAGCCCCGCCCCCTTCCCCTCTGTGTACGGGGAGCTGCTCCTCTCTGCTGTTTAATTTCTCCTTCAGGCAGCGGCGGGTCGGAGCTCCTCCCGCCATTATTATTATTTTTGGTATTTTGTGATTATTTGGTTTTTCTCGTCGTTGAGGCTCGGCTCGTTTCCTCGACGGGCCGAGCGGCGTCTCAGACTCCTGATGGAGGGAGGAGGAAGAGGAGGGCTGTAATAAATCTTCATCGCTTCTCAGTAACCGTAGCTAGAATCATGTAGAGACAAATGAAACTCGTTAACCAGGTTAGGATCATCGTCATGTCATCAGCGCCGTCTCCGCTTCCATCCATCAGATATTCTATTGAAATAAATGGGATCGAGCTTCAAGTGTCTGTGGAGCCCTAACGTTGATGTGACTCGGAACCTTTCAGCTTCTGTTTGTTCTGCTTCTATAATTGTGAATGATAAACTTCTTCATCTTTCAACTGTGCTGATTTCTAAAGCTCCCGGCCGGGAGTCGTGTTTGTGGAATGCATTGTGAGATGTAAACAGTTATCAATAAAGCTTCTAGACGAAGAACCGCCGCCTCGCCTCTTCACTGGGAACCGGGTCGGCTTTCAGAACCAGAACCTGACTGCAGCAGGGGGATCAGAACCAGAGAGCCGGTCCAAGATGGCTGCTTCTGTAGGTTCTGGTTTTGGTCGCTCAGCAGGATCTGATCTGACCTTTGCTCTGGAACCAGGATGCTGCTCACTAAACACCACGATGAGTGATGGCCCCAGAACCTCCCCATAGCATGATACCTGCGCCACCGTGCCTGAACAGGGTTCCTAACGTGTTCCGCAGCTCATTTGATTGGCGTTCTGTTCCCTCAGGAACCTGGAGATGACTGAAGGTTAAATCAGAACCTCTGGAACAGTTGATCGGTTTTCTAACAGCTTTTCCTGCTTTAGGTTCCTGGCTCACCTTGCTGATTTTTCCAGCGTCTGGGCGTATGCATAGAGTATTCATAGCGTACTTCATCGTACTCATAACTTATCCAACCTATGCCAGCATTTTTGTACGTTCTTTCGTATGCCAGGCAGACGCTGGTCTAAATCGTCAAGGTGTGACAGGAGCTTCGCTCAGGATAAGGCAGGAAGTCGATAACTGCAGCAGACTGTCATATTCCCACCTTGCTTTTTTTTCTGTTAAGGTGTCAGATCTCCTGTAGAGGTTTTTAATTCATTATGAACATTTAAAGGAATGAAAATGTTAAAAACAGAAATGATACATAATTCAGCAGGTTCTGGTTCTGATACCAGTTTTGTCCTGTCAGCCCCATTATTTCCCACTTTTTTTATTTAATTTTTTAATTCTCCAGTAAGTTTAAAAACACTCATACAATACTGTATTTGTTTTATTTTCCTATCTGATATTTTATACAATCTTCCAAGATGCACATTGTGTGACCACTACTTAGACTAATGCTACGTTCAGACGGCGAGCAGCTAAAACGCGCATCCTGCTTCTGATGGAGGTTTCTACCAGTGATCAGCTGTTCATCTGAGCTCTACTGGTTCTGGTTCTGTGGGTTGGAACTTTATTGATCTTTATTTGAATCTCTGGATGTTTTTACAGAATTAGTCTGAGGCTTAAAACTGATTTTACATTTAGATCATTTCCTGAAACCAGCTCCTGTCCTCGCAGCAACAGCACCCCCTGCTGGTAGAAGATGACCCATTAGTCTGCATTCAAATATAAATCTTTAATGACTTCTGCAGTATTTAATAAACATAACATCATTAATACTGAATATATAGTCAAACATTTACAGAGTTTAATTTGCATTTAATTATTTTTAACAGCAGGAAGCAAAAAAAAGCAGAAAATAAAAGCGGCACTGAGTTACTGTTGGCCACTAGGGGCGCTAGACGAGTAGCTTCCAGGTTTAGTGCCCCCTATAGGCCGTTAGCAGAACTGACTGTAGCTAAATGACCCAGCCTGCCTTTGTGTTCTGCTATCAGCCCGGTTTGGACCAGCAGGTTCTGGTGAAGTCCTGTCAGCGGTTCTATCTTTGGACGTTAATGTTTCTGAGATCCAAACATTCAGACCTTAGGTCTGCTCTGCAGTTTCTAAGGTGCAAACATCACTTGAGGCTCCGCCCCTCCCTTCAGCCGATTGGCTCAGAGCGCCCTCAGGTGGTCTGTTGTAGCAGCAGCACAGCGAGCAGGTTGCTCTGTGACTCCGCCCACTCCCCAGTCGCCTCCAGCTTCACTTTCTCCCCCTGTCTGAGCTGCAGGAGGCCCAGGCTGCTCACAGGCCCCGCCTCCTTCACTTCCTGCTGCCGCAGAGACACCAGAGCCCCGCCCCTTTCCTCCACCCGCCTCAGCACCACATGGGTGGAGCCTGGCCTGAGGTCAGAGGTCAGAATAAACAGGTAGAGACCATCCACAGGAGCAGAGAAGACCCCAGAGTCGGAGTAACAGTGATCCATGTTCAGAGACGGTTCAAACGAAATGCCTCCATCTGCAGCGCCTCGAGGGGCCCCGCCCACAAACAGCAGGGAGACGTCTGATTGGCTGGATGGGAAAGGCACACCTGCAGAGGAAAGGTAGAGGTTCTTTAAGGGGTCCAAGGATGTACTTTGGGGGGGGGTCAGGAAAGTTTTGGTTTATTTGACTTTTTTTATATTCCCTCCTGTAATTTTTTCCACGAATTGAAATGTCTTTAAATCCACATGAACATGAATCCAACAGACTGTAGTAAACAGATAAATGGAGACAGAAGATGTCTTTCAGTCATCAATGCTAGTGGCGGTTCTAGACCAAATGTACCGGGGGACCAGGAGGGGGCCAGCGTGCTTTAATGGGTTAAAAGAAAAGCATGAAATAAAAAACAGGGAAATGATTCAAATATGTTAATATAGCTGCATGCAATCATAATTCTATTTCTTATTAGGTCAATATAAATATAGAATTTAGGAATTTTACATATTTTTACTTTAAGTTAAAATTACCGTTTTCTATAAAACCTGAATAAGAACTCAAGAAAAACTGATAAATTCAGCTGCAAAAATTAGAGGAATTTGTCTGAAAAAAGCATTTAGCAGATTAAACTGGGATCCTATCTCAGTACCACTGAATTTATCACCTTATTATTTTTAAATAATTAGTAAAACAGAATTTGTAACATAAAATTAAATAGATCCAAAGGAGCTATCAGTAATCATGTCTGTTCCAGCGCAGATCATCATTAGAACTTCTCTGAGTATCATGGCTTCAGTACAGGGGCCATAACAGGGGCCCTGGCCCCCGTTGGCCCCTGTCTAGAACCGCCCATGATCAACGCACACATTCAGCGACACACAGGAGCTCTTTCAAGCTGGGCACCGTTTCATTCACAACACCTGTCCCATCAACCAGGAATCAGAAATACTTTAATAATCCCAGGGAGGGATTACTTTAGTTACATTACTCCATCTGTAATAGAGTACCGGTAACTATAGGAGCAGTTTGATAGAATATATAGAATTAGGGGTCCGCTCCATCAATGGGGGTCCCTGGCCTGGTTGAAGATCCCTGGGTTAGACCATTCTAACCTTCTGTTACTCTGCCTGGTTAGTAGCAGTATTAACTGAGTTAGTAACTAACTAGTAACTCTCCTCCTGACTCACCTGCTGCCCTCCTCTCTCTGCGATGACCTCCTCCTCCACTCTTCCCTCTTCCTCCTCGCTTCTTGTCCTTCCTCTTCATCAGCTCCCACAGCCTGTCCAGCTCCACCGTGTCCTCGGACGCCGCCAGCACGTCCGCCTTGCTGAAAACGTTTTTGAAGACCCTCAGATGCTCCTCCAAGCCGCGCTTCAGCAGCTCCACGTCCTTCTGCAGCTGCACATCCCGCCCTGCAGGGGGCGTCCCTCTCTCAGCGGGGGTGTTGTTGCAGGAGCAGGGCCTCTCCTCCAGACGGACCAGCCTCTGCTCCAGCTGCTCCACGTTCTTCTCCAGGTTCCACAGGTCGCTGCCGTCTCCGGCGTGCGGGTGCAGCAGGAGGAGCTGGTTCTCCCTGACTGGAGGGCCGCCGCTATTCCTGCTGGAGCCACCGGGGGGCCAGAGAGGCTGGGAGGGGGGCTGGTCAGCAGAGGGCACCTCCTCTGGGCTTCCTGAGGACATCAGATCTGAAGGTCATCAGGAGCTTCAGGCAGCGAGACCTTCATGAATGTTCTCAGGGTTGAACCCTTTCATGCCAGCTCTCAGGGTGGGGACTAAGAATCTAAAAGTTTTATCTATACGACATATACTCACCGGCCACTTTATTAGGTACACCCGTCCAACTGCTC